ACGAAGTTACGGAAAATCAATTAAAAAACGGAGACGTAACAGTGACTTACCCACTCTCACTATTCTTGGTTCTGAGAACCCATAGAAAAGTTATGAGAATAAATGCCCCTTGTATCAAGTTCTAGTGGCTTTTCAAAACTACTTTACTGCTGTAATTAGATAGATTAATCAAAACTAAATGGTCTTCAGTCAATACTGTATTTTCAAACGTAATGGTTTAAATGCCAGTAGCTGAAGAAGCATTAGAAACTATGTTTCGCTAGCTTTTGGAACTCAACCGTAACTTTTAACTTAAAGCGTTTCCGATAAACTTCATCTCTAATCATCAAGCCCAACAGATAAGTTTTGGCATTGTACGAATAACCTCTTCGCATTGGTTTGTGGAGGACAAAAGACAGATCTGAAATGCTATTTTTACACATCTCTGATTCTAAATTTTAAATGGGTAAATTAAAAAGAATGTGAAAAAAAAATTGCAGTTAGCGTTATTTTTATCACAAATTTTTGACATATTGTATTTCCTTACGTGCTGATGTCCCCATTCTGTAACACTAGAGGGCGCTGTAATTTTTATTTTATTTTTTTTATCTTCCGTCGTAATGGCAGACGACGTGTCGGAAGATATATGCGACAGTTGGGAAGATATGATTGAAAATGGGGTAAATGTTTATATTAATAACATTACTCTTTATCTACAGTGTATTTACACTTATTCACTTTCAATAGATACAAGTCGCTCTTGGATTACATATTAATATGTATTACTGACACTGTTTGACCTTTGTTGTAAATGTAATTTGTAAAGCTTGGAATGGATACCAATTACTAATACTAAAATACTACTAATAATTTAGTATTACTGTTAGTACTGTTCGTCATGCTGTCGTATTCTTCTTTTATGTATTGACTGTGTTCCTAGTGTGTAGGCTTAGATTAGAATCTTAGAGTTTAAATTAACATCCGTTACGACGCAAATAAAGCTCAACTAAAAGCTAAAGTTATTACTTACTTTCAGTTTCAAAAAGAACTATACTAATAGTAACACTAAGACTCGGCTATAGTACAAAACTAACAGGTAAAACTGAAGATAAGGAACTAAGTTGATTTACATTAGAATTAGATTGATTAAATGTGTAATATACTGATAATCAGACTCAATGAACTTAAGAAATGACATATGGACAACATATGAAACAATTAAAATTGTCCCTCTATTTTTTCAGAAGTAATTAATTTGTATCTAAAATTTCTGTATATGTTGACCTGCACTACTGCTGATGGCAGCTAATTCTATAACTATAAGTCAGTCACCCTGTTAAAAAAATAGATGTCTTAACTAGAGTTTAGTTGATGTTTTCCAAATCTGAAACTTGTGTCTTCTCATCAGATTATCCTTAGAATATAGCACAAAGAAAACAGTGACCTTTATCTTATTGGTCATTTGGATAATCTTTTTTCTTTGTAAACTTTGGTAAGGATAAGAAGAGATCTTAACCTAGTGCTATAAGATAACCCTTCCATTTCTGGAATCATTCTTGTATCCCATAACTGAAACCTTTTTGGTAAGTTATTATCCTTTCTTAGATGACTTGAATAATTTATCTACAAATATTTCAAGATAATCTTCTTAAGTTACTCTGCTGAGTTGGTTCTGTTCTATATTAAATGTTGATTCAAGTTATGTAAACCCAAAGGCATTACCTTGCACTCATTATAACTAAAGATTACTTACCCAACAGATCAATTGATCCTAGTCATTCTGTAATACAACATCATCAGTACAGCTAGAAATACCCAAGGATGTAATGACATCAACAAGCTTTACTAATTAGGTTCCCTATCAATATCATTAATATAAATAGAGAACAGAGGCCAAAGCACTGACCACTAGAACGTTCCACCAAAAGCAAGGGTCAAGTTAATATCTTGTGTTGCACTTTGTCAAAGGCTTTTTGAAAATCTAAATAACCAAGTCCTCACCTTCTCCATTGTCTAGATAGCAAATAACATCAGAAAAAAAGTCTGCTCTTTCATAAGGGCTGAGTATAGGCTTCACACTGTAGCACCAGTAATGATAATTTTCATTTAGATTCTAGAATGCTATGCATGAACTTGTATAGATATCCTAGGCACTGAGACATTTTTAAGATTATTAATAATTAAGCTTTTGTGACTCATCATTCTGTCTCTCCTATTTTTCTCGTGGAATTTTTTCATGAAAATATACTGTCTGAGAAGACCTAACTGATGGTGTTTTTAAAAGTCACACAGGGATAACTCTGTTCCACAATTTTAAGGACTTTGATTAAGTGAAAATTTAGTCATAAAAAGTATTAGAATAATATTGTCACTACATTTAGGAAGTAAAATAATACATTGACACTTGATAAGTTTTGTAATGAGATCATGAATGCAGTAGCTAATAAAGATTTAATCATGGAGGATTTTAATTTTAGGCATATTGATCAGGAGAATTTGATGTCAAATGGTGAGAGTGATAGGTTCTTGGAAAATGTAGAGATGGTTTTCTTCATCAAATAGTTTTAGTGGACCTTCTAGGAGGATTCAATTTTAGATTTATCACTAACCTACAATGTGGATATGGTTGAGAGTGCAAAATTAGAGGAGGATCTGGGTCACGGTTACCAACCATCCATAGATTTATTGTTAGTCAGTAAAAAAAGTCACATTTTAATATTGTCTGTAAACCTATAAACAACAAAAAATGCCCGTGATTTTGGATCAAAGTAAAAGAAGGTATATTTTCTATTGCTCTGTAACTTCCAATGACATATTCCTACTCACACCATCACTTGTTTGGAATTTCTTGTTTTCTGTTGTTGTCTATCCTTAAAGACAGTACTTCAGTAATCTGTTGCAAAATCCCTACTTTCTGAGCCTAGACCATCTCACACACTGAGTTCACAGTTGTGATAAACAATATATTTGTATCCATATACGACAATAAGAAGTGGATAAGACATAAAGAAATGTACATACATAAAAATATTGTATTTTTATACTGAATTTTATTATTTCTGATTCTTTTAATGATGTTAGTAAAAACACTGTTGTAAGGTTGGCAAATTTGATTTGGCTACAAGTGATCATTGAAGAATTAGGTTTGAGGTGGAATAACGTAGAGATCAAGAGTAACAGTATTTTGGTTCAACGTTTTAGGAAGGTTAATTTTGAGAGGGTGAGGAAAAATTTGATTCTGAATGATTGGGATATAGAGTTAAATGGAGATGTGGGAGGATTTTAAAAATAAATTAAATATTCAAGATAAGTTTGTTTCACAGAGTTAAAAAATGGTGGCTTCAAGTAATAGACCAAGATTGCTCACTAGAATTATTATTTAAAAAATTAAAGATAAACATTACAAATTTAAAAAGTTTAAGTTAGTTACTAAGATGGAAGACTTGGAGAATTATATAAAATCAAGAGAGATGGTTAAAAAGATATTAAAACCTCCAAAGAGGTTTATGAAAAAAAGTGTAGGTAAGGGCTTCTTTAAACACATTAAAGACAAACATAATGTTAAAATGGGAATTGGGCATTTGAGGGATCGGGATGCTGAAGCAAGATTATTTATGAAAGATTATTGGATTATTGAGTTGCTAAGTTTTTTTCAGTTTTCGCCAGAGAAGGTGTGAACAATATTCTATATTCTGAGAATTTACTAGTGAGAAATATGATTGATGTACATAAAATTCATATTAGCCATGAAACTATTAAAGAAAAATTATAAAGTTTAAAAAATGATAAGGCTCCTGGGCCAGATAACATTTTCTCAATGGTATTAAAAGAGGTTAAGGATTACACAGTTAAGTACCTTACTAGAAGTTTTTGTGTAGTGGGCAGGTGCCAGAAGACTGGAAGGTGGTTAATGTTACACCTAGTTTTAGAGGAGGTGACAAGAATTTTCCAGATAATTATAATTAGTCTTACTTTTGTGGTGGTGAAAGTTTTAGACAGGCTAATTAAAGATGCTTTGCAAAGCCAACTAATAAGATTTACAAATTAGTTGGACAGCCAGCATGGTGTCACACAGGGAAAATCTTGTCTCCTGAACCTTTTGACCTTCAAAAATGTCACTGCTTACATAGATGAGGGTAAGAGTGTGGGTTTGGTGTATCTGTATTTTTAAAAGGCTTTTATCACGGTGCTACATAAAAGACTAAAATAGAAAATTATCTCTGTGGGTGCGGGATATAAGTTAGTTCAATGAATTAAAGGTAGGTTAATTAGAGGAAAGGAAGTAAATGGATGTAATACTCACCCAAACTGGATTGGAGTTTTAACTGGGTTTCTTCAGGGTTTTCTGCTGAAACCCTTACTTTTTTTTTATATACATTAATGATATTGATAAGAGAATGGTCAATATTTCAATTCAAGTGAAAGTGCAGAGCATCACAGGCCACTAATTAATTCACCAACAAAAAATAGAGTATTCTAACTGCAGATGTCATGAGCTATCTATATTTCTCACATTTAATAAACAGTTAGTGGATACAGTCCTCTGTGTGTAGGTAAAGTAAAAGTTGTTTACTTTAGTGACACAGTCCAAACTGAACTGAAAGAAAAATTGAAAGATTTATGTATTAACTAAGGAGATATCAGATGCATGGTACCATCCTCTACCATGTAGTGCATATATAAATAGTGTTGTGGGAATACTTTTGTCCCTAATCATTTGCCAAACTGGTGAGTTCTAGTCTTTGGAATGCAAAGTAGACAAATTAACAGGAATGTGGAAAAAAAATCTGCAGTTTGTCATTTTATCACAAATTATAAAAAGGGCTAGTTGGCCAATCTACTAGACAATCTCAATTTTTCCCTATTTCAAACACTTAAACTCCCTTTTCCTTACGTCCAACCCTGAATCTTAAACATTGGTGCAATTTCCTTTTAACCTCCTCCAATCTAACAGTTTTTCCACACCTGAGGGCTACTTATGCCATAGGATGACTACTCTATTAGAAAGGAAACACTATCTTAATTGGAGCCATGTTTTATGTGCCGTAAACTTCTATCTTCTAGTGTTACTGCTTATAAGAAAGTTTCTCTTACTAATCTGTTAACTTATTTCAAGGATGTTGCATGTAATCTGGTTGATGGAAAAGATGTGGACTTTGTATACTTGGGTTTTCAAAAAGTTTTTGATAAGGTAGTATGCAAGAAATTTGCTAAGAAAATTACATCATTATGGGTGGGTGGAGGGTTAATTAAGTTAGATTGTAAGGTGGTTGGGTGGGAGAAATCAGAATTTTTGTTATTAATGGAGACAAGTCAAACCCAACCCTTAATACTAGCAGAGTGCCTCAGTTTTTAAGTTTTTGTTTTTCTTACTTACGTTAATAATACTGATAATGGACAAAATTAGTCTAGATTTATGATGACATTAAATACTTGGTTATTTCTAGCTCTACTGAGAATTTTGTGGTATTATAGAGTCAATGAGCAAGTTGGACAAATGTTTGATAAATGACCTTTAATTATAGCAAGTTCAAGGTAAATAATTTATGTTTTCATAATTTGAATCACACATCTAATATAATTTGGAAAATGCTCAACAATATGTTTAAAGAAAATATGCCTAGCATAGTGGTGGGTAAGTCACTCAAGCTGTTGAAGTAGTGCTTTAATGTTAGTAGTAAATCTAATATCATTTTAGGATGTATGTATAGACATATTGATTACATTTCAAAAGAATTTATCTTTATCTTGTTTGAATACCGTGTACTTAGAAAGGTTACGGAAGAGAACTACTGAGATGTTTTTGAGGATGGAAGGGTTATTATATAGGGACAGATTAAGATCTCATTTCTTTTTTGAGAAAAGAAGGGAAAGATGTGATCATATTGAAGCTTACAAGATACAAGAATGTGCAAAGATCAATGGATGGTTTATGGAATGAATTTTCATGGGTAATTGGGGAGGCTGGCATTTCAAAAGAGTTTCAGACGGGAGGCGGTGTCCTCTGAAAAATTTGGTTTAACTGTTTACTTTTCTGATCAGTAGGTATGCAAGGACAGTTTTGAAATGGTCCCTTGATGTCCATATGTCACTCATATTTGATATACACTTGTGGTACATAATTTTCACAGATCTATAACAAGATTTACTAACTGAGTTTTTTAATTAGTATTTCAGTTCTCTTGGCCTTAGGTGATCAGGCCTAAGAAAATACCACTCATTTGCTCGTACATGAGTGTAGTAGATGAATAAGTACACATTGAATTTTTTTAAGCACTCAACAAATGCATTATTTCAGCTGGTTACAGTTAGCTTGCCTGTAGAGTAATTGTGGTGCTAAGAATGAATGGCCAGATTTCAAAAAGTACCTTATTTTCTTATTTATTGTTAAGCTGTTTTCTCTAAGTCAATACACGTATTTTAGTGTTGTGGCCCCTGATGCTGGTAACATACGTAACGGATCGCCTGTTAATTAGGACTGTGATTCTGTTTTATATTGAAAAATTGTAATTTTGTGTAGAAAATAACTGACATTTTGTAAAAACCAATGCTTAGTTTATCCATAATTACAGAAGTATTTTACTTATCGTATCTCAACTTTGTTTGACAGCAAGGGTGCATGCACTTATTTCCTAAAAGCTTCATACATCTTTGAATATGCTGCTCCCTAAAGTTTTACTTCCCTTATTCTGACCTGTTGTGGATTCTCTATGTAACTATACATTGAATGAGAGGTCAAAATATTGATTCATTATTGGTTTTCCCAGCATGATGCATATCATATTTATATATACGTATCATGCAAAGTGATAACAATCATTAGGTGGTGCATAGTCAAAGGATAAGTAGATTAAATAGGCCAATTACTTATTGAACTAATGCTGTAATTCTTAGTCAGAATTTGTCAAAAATGTTTGGAAATTGCTAATGAAAATGTAAGCATCTAAAGTTTTACCATTTTATTATGGTCTTGAAAAATTATATTATTTGAAAACATCTTGTAAGGCAAGTAAAATTTGTTCAGGATGAATAAACATTGTCACTAGTCGTGCAGGATGAGTGGCTATTCCGACAATTGTTGACCCCCAGTAATTATTTCGTTATCTATCTTGTGTTTGTTAGATGTAAGCAGATGTGTTTTGTAAGAAAGACAATAAAATTAAATGAAGTTATTTATTTTGGATGTATATTTTTTGTGTGTGATTTACCTATTTTTGTGTCTTTGTTAGTAAATGACACACACATCTCTCCCAGGACTTTAGTAGTCTTTCTTTTGTTTCCATTGTGTTATAAAATACTTTTAAGTTAAACAGTTTTCTTGGTTAGATTTCTTTAAATTCAGCATACACAAGGATTAATACTGAGTTTATAATGGGGGTCTAAAGTTCTTTCCAGTTTAGAAAATTATGAAGAAAATTAATTCATAAAAAAATGGGGATTTCTGTGAAAAATAAAATTTTCAAGAATTTTTATTTATAAGGAAATTTGGTAAAGTACACTTTAGATTTTATATTGTTGACTTCTTTTATTGAGATAGCATTCATTTTACTTAAAGATGTACTTGTTTTGATTTTGTAGCATGTAATTCCTACTGACTTACATATGGTAATAATAGGTGTGTAGAGTACCTAGATATCTTATTTCTGCTGCTAATTATTATTTGTGTGTTTTTTATTCATTTTGTTGTGCAAAATATTTTCTTTATGATGCACTAACTGGGTACTTTATGTTATGCACTTTCTGTCCTTGGCTGTGTGACTGAGTTGATGCCTCTCCCACTTTAACCTCCTGTGGTCTTCCTTCTCCAGTGATCCTGCACAGTGTTTCTTATTATTTCTCTCTGTTTTCTTTCGTACACCACTTCTTTCTCATTATCCTCTTTCCTGTCCTCTTCTCATTTATCTTCTGCATCATCACATTTTGAAAACATGGTGTCCTCTTTGTAGGTAGCATGAGCTGTTTGTCTTTCAAGATGTATTTTTGCCTTCTTTTTACTTGTGATAATTGCCATTCAGACATTTACACCTTAGACACCTCCCATACTGTCTGTTATTAGGACTGGTTGATATTTTTTCCAGTCTGCTCCTTCTTCTGAAGATTTGGGCTGCTTGGGAGGGGGATCGGAAGTTTTCTCCTATCTCTCTCTCTCATCTATTTCATCAGTGTTTGATTGTACCAATCCTGATTGTTTTTTGTGTCCATTATGCACTGTCAGTTGCTGTCTTGCTTGGACTGCCTCTTTTCGTAGAAACTGCAGTCATCTATTTTCATTGTGACAGACCTCCTCCTCTTGGGACTTGACCCCTTCTATTTTAACTGATTAGGTTTGCCAACTAATCCATCATGCATATTATTCTATGGGTGAGTTTGACCATATGCTCTTTTGCATTTCTTCCTGGCAGTTTTGGCATGTCACAGCCTCTCTTGCCTGTTTTTGTCATTGGCCTTTTGAGAAAATCTTACAGGCTGGTATGTGGACTACACCTAAAACATTTGTCTCCTATTGCTTACATCACTGGATGGTTTACTGTGCCTCTGGTTTTTGCCTCCCAACAGTCATCATTCTCCAATTTGTCCAGACATATACTTTAGTATGGTGAGTTTTGCCTGTTGTGTTTTTCAGTTAACTCCACATCATTCATATATTTCATGGCATCTCCATGTGCATACCATGATTTTTGTACACATTCAAACATTGCAAGTTCCTCAACAAAAACAAAGAACTGGAAGAGGCAAGACTATCCAGATCAAAATGTTTTACGAGGAATTACTTACTACATTCCTTATGCTTGGTGCCATTGGAACCTGTGGAATGGCTGGCATTGTTTCACAGAGAATACTTACTTGAAACCCGTGTCAAGCAGGGTAGAATGAAAAGCTTTTAATCCATCTATCCCTGCTCTGAGTTCACTGTAGAAATGAGGTTTCCAGTAAGATGGCATTATCATTAAATCTGTAATTAACACGTCCAATTCCATACATATAATAAACAGACAGGACCAGGTGTAGTCTTGCTGTTACACCTAATTGCACTTACTCTCTTTATTCATAGTAACCCATTGCACTATCTCTTGGTGGGGACCCAGTTTCAGATTGATGCACACTCTCTGATGTTCTTTCTAATGCATATTCCTGACCCCTGTTCTTCTAGTGGAGCATGATCAAACCCTTACTTCTCTGCTTCCAAACCACTGGGGATATCAATATGGAGAGTTTCCTCTGCAAATGGTGCCTTCCCTCATGGTAAGAGACTGGTTTAGCCCACCCTTTATTTGAAATATAGGGCTCTGGTTTTCCCTTATTACAATATCTCCCCAGCAGTTCCTGGATGGGACTTGGACTTGATTCATGTGTGAGTTCCTTCTCCCTCTACCTGTTGTTACACAATATCTGTCTCGTGTATTTATTTCACCAAGATGGAATGGCATTCCTCCCACTTTTGTGACATGCTTCCACCGACACTGTATTTACAAGATATCTATGACTGTAAATCTATCTCTGTCGTAAGTGTAACATATAAATGAATAAGTATCGACAAGTTGGGTGAAGAGTATTCCCTGCTTGAGAAGAGTGCAGTCTTCCACTGGATGCTGATCCACTAGGTGATCTCTGGTCTTGTGAAAGTCACACCCCATGGGCTTTCCCTTTCTTGTTGCTATTTCAGAAAGAAGTTCATCTTTATAATTGATCAACACCAGCCCTTCCATCATATAATTGTGGGGTTCTAGCTATTATTGCTGCATAGAGGAAAGTAATGTTAACATTTTCCTTACCTGAATGTATTTTAGATAGATACTTAACTCTCTTCACCACCTTCTCACTCTTTCTCCCCACTTCTGGTACATTTTCTTTGCCTCATCAGGAATGAGCCTATGATCATGTGCTAGTGCTCAAGAGGATTACTGTGCATGAAGGTTGTGGCATTATCTTACTGGTGGATGGCTATAGCATTATGAGAGTTACATCATAGGCTGGCTCAATACATATAACGTGTAAAGTTGGGAGTTTGTTCAAGGCTTGTGGCATGTGCTGAAAATTCCAGAGGAGTTGCACACGAGGTAATAACTCTTATTGGTATAGAGATGATTAAGTATCTATTTGAAATACATTTTCTCGTAAGGATTAATATTTGAGTTCCTTTATGAGGGTCAACAGAGTTTCAGGGGCACTCAAGACTAGATCCTTGAATGTACAGGAAACTTGGTATGGTCCTGTAAGGTATTGTTTAAAATAAATATCTACATTTAAACTTTTGAAAGTTTAATTCTAGGGCTAATTTACTATCAGATTCTAAACAGCCAATAATATGTTAAAGTTCAATTTCTGTGATGTGATAAAAAAAATTTGAATCTAATAAAATGTTTCCTCTACATTTAGCTTTAAGTGTTTCTAACAGAAGCCAAATATTTAACCTATAGTTTTTGTTCTTATAAAGATTTTAGAAAAGAAGCTTGAAGAACTGACAGTTAAAGCAGAAGAAAAACCATCCAAGTAAGTATATGGGTGTGTTACAAATAAATAATGTATGGAATGATATTATTGTGGAAATGTTTCTAAGAAGTATAATTATTTCCAAGATAATATGAATAAATACTTCTATAAATTTTCTGACTTTAAGAATTTGCAAATTTTTTCATCTTGTTCTACAGGTGGTTGAAGCCAGCTATTTGTGGCACTAAGCAAATACTAATCAGTTTTATTCCTTTTTTTTTTTCAATTACAGCTATAATTTATTATTATTATTTATAAATGATTGAATTTAATGAGAGTACACGTAGTTGAGGGAATGTACCTCTGATATTCTTAACTCAGATAGGCCTTGTATGGTTGCAAACATTAATTTTCTGTAAGTTTCAAAGTTTGCATTAATTACTGCCAAAACTCAAATCGTTTGGCAAGGAGTTAAAACCCACAATGACATGCTTTCCAGAACAATTTGTTTGGTCTCCCAGTGGGACAGCAGTAAGTTTATAGACTTCAACACTAAAATCTAGGGTTTGATTCCCTGCAGTGGTCACAGCAGGTTGCCCAATATGGCTTTGCTCTAAAACAAATAAACAACCAAACCATCTGTATGAACTAAACCTTTGGTAAATGAACCACTAACTCACCTGTTTTTTTCTTTTGTAACGTCATTCTTAATTTATTTATGCTATTATGGAAGAAAACATTGATTTTGTAGGTTGAAACCTCAGAATTATTATTTTTTTAAACTTTGGGTTGAAGAGTATTTAGTAATTAGTTGAAATACATCATGATACTTTGTTACAGGAAACAACTTCACACATTCCAGACTACAAATGTGAAATGTATGGTGCATTGTTCATATTTTATATAATATCATTAATTAATACTAACTAGCTGTTATTTTGTTTTGACTTCTTCTGTATTTTCAGTTTCACCATTGTTACGTACTTAATTTTAAATTACTAAAAATGTCTTTATCAAAATATTTTTATTTATGGAATCCTAGAGTCTAAATTGAAAAACTTTGTCTATTTTTACTTTTAAATGATGTGTACATTTTGAATGTTTTAGAGTCATATTGGTATTTTTCTTATGTATTGCTCCTTTCTCTGAGGCCCTCCAGTGGCATAACGATATGTCTGCAGACTTACAATGCTAGAAACCGGGCTTAGATACCCGTGGTGGGTAGATTACAGATAGCCCATTGTGTAGCTTTGTGCTTAACTTGAAACAAACTTTTCTCTCAGAAAGCTGATAAGTGAGAAGACCATTTTGTCCCTTTTTGAATATTCACTAGTATTGATGTAAATACTTGTTCCTATTCTTGTTTTATTTCAGTTCATTTTCCATTTTTGTTTAAATTTCATTGACAAGCCTATCCATCATTATACATTTCAGCTCCATACATTTTGATACTTTTATTTCTTAGTGAGTTTTTATTGTTGGAAGATTTATAATGATTATTTATCAAAACTTCATATAATTTAGTCCACTTATTTTAAAAAGATTTGTTTCAATAATGAAGTTTTTAAAATTTTATTTAAACATTTTCAAGTAGATGAAGCATTAAGTTTCAACCAAAACAACCTTACATTTTTAGCCAAAAAAAAAGACTGTTCCTTACCACATTGTACTCTTTTTTTCTCATCTGCTTTCCTTCAGAAAGTTACCCATTGTACTTCTATCATCTGCTTTCCTTCAGAAAGTTACCCATTGTACTTCTATCATTTCTTTCCTTCAGAAAGTTACCCATTGTACTTCTATCATTTCTTTCCTTCAGAAAGTTACCCATTGTACTTCTATCATTTCTTTCCTTCAGAAAGTTACCCATTGTACTTCTATCATTTCTTTCCTTCAGAAAGTTAACCATTGTACTTCTATCATATTGAAGTAATTTAGCAAACAAAGTTCTGAGTTAAAGGTGAACAGTTAAAAAATACTTGTTCAGTATGAAAGAGCTCTTATTTACTTCTGCAATTACCTACTTATGCACAGAAAATACAACGAGGGAAGTGAAAATCAGTGTGGAGGAGTTCCACAAGTAATGTTAGAAGATAGTTCACGAACACCATATATGCCACAAGTTAAGATTCTGAAACGTCCTTCAGATGCTAGATTTGGTGGAAATGGTGAAAAATCACCCAATCGACAACCTGTGAAAACACTACAACAGCGAGAAGCAGAATATGCTGAAGCACGACGGAGAATTTTAGGGTCTGGTCCAAGTGAGGATGAAACTCAGAAAGTCATGTAAGTCCCTTAGGTTATTCTGTATTCTTCCCTTTGGTTCAAGTAATAACTGTTATTCTTAAAATTACTTTTTTAGATGAGTTCTCCTACTTCAAACTACAATATTGATGGGAATGGAGTTCGTATCATTTGTGTTTTTTGAGAATAACGTTATCAGGATGCATGAAAAAAAAATTTAAATGATCACATTCAATAATTGACATATGTATATATATGTATGTGTGTGTGTGTATACATATATAAAAGAAAATTAAATACATTGCCATTCAAAAGTTGGGAAACAGACATATTTTGTGGAGAAGATTTGAAAATACTTATTTTCTCCAGGGTTTTAAAGGGGGTCAAAGAACAGATATACGAGTCCAGCTCTTTCATTTTTGGTAGCTAGACAGTTCCTGAGGATTCAAGAATTCTTAATGTTACTCTTATTTTTAAAATCAATGATAAAAAGTGCCTTGGACATTATAGGTCAGTTAGTTTCCTGTAGTGGGAAAAATTCTATAAAATCTGATAAAAGAAGCTTTAAAAAATTCTTTTTTGAAAAATATTATAAAAGAAAATCAACATGGATTCACCAAAGATAAATCTTGTCTTACTAATTTGATAACTTTTTTTCCGAGAATGCTATGTGGATGATGGAAAGACTACGTGTAGATTTTCAAAAAAGCTTTTGATAAGATGACATATTAGATTAGCCAAGAAAATTTGGTTGGGGGTTGGGGAAAGATTAGTTAATTGGACTGTAGGATGTTTGAATGAGAGTAAAAGGTTTTTTTATTAATACAATCTAGTCAAATAGGACCCTTGTTACTAGTAGGGTGCCTCAGGAGTCAATATTTGGACATTTGTTTTTACTTATTTACAGTAATGATGTTAATAGTGCCATAATTTGTAAAGTTTGCTGATCACATTAAACTCTTGGTATTTCTAACTGTACTGAGGATGTTGAGGTATTACAGAATGACTTTGATCAACTGGTAATTTGGCAAATGACCTTTAGTTATAGTTAGTTCAACGTAAATCATTTGGGTTATAATTTGAATCACACGTTTAATATAGATGAGAAACCACTCACTAGTGTGACTGAAGTAAAAGATCTTGGAACAGTGGTGGATAAGTCACTGAAACCATTGAGGCAATGGTATTCTGTTAGTATTAAAAGCTGTACAATTTTAGAGTGCACTTATAGATATATTGATTGGAAGTTGGATGAGGCAATCATGCCCGTATGTAAATCACTAGTTACATCTGTCTTGGGATACTGTGTAAAGTTCTGTTCTCTCTATATAAGAAAGGTTATTGACTTATTGGAAAGAGTTAAGAAAAGGGATACTGTGATGATTCTGTGGATTTAAGGGTTATGTTTTAAGAGATAAATTTAGATCATTTACTCTGAGAAAAGAAGGGTAAGAGATGATCTTACTGAAGTTTACAAGATTATCAGGGGAATCAGTAGGATAAAGGCTTTTGATTTATTTGTGTTATATTCTGAATACACTAGGAAAATAAAACCTAAGTTTAAGATTTGGATAAGATAGGCTAGGCTCTAGTTACGACACTTTTATTTTTTGATCAGGTTTTTCAGTTGCTGTAAGCAGTAATGGGAGCTAACACTTTGTAGGAGTTTAAGAAGGGAATTGATTTTTTTAAATATAAAGGGTGATGTAAAATTTTTACTTTTCTCAAAGATGGCTGTAAAAGGACTGTCTTAAAGGATCAAATGGTCACTTGTTGTGTAACTATTATTTTCTATTAAATGCTGTTACAATCAAATTTATTGGTTATAATAGTGATACAGACTAAATTATTTAATAGAATGCATACAAATGAAATCATTATTATTTTCACTAAAACATTAGGTTCGTAAATGTAACCAAAATGTATTTTAATACTAATCTTACACAGAGAATAACCTGGAAGCTTTCTACAGCTAAGGGAGGTTGAGAGGTCATGTTTGAGGCAAATCTCTTAAAAACAGACCAGAGACAATTGCAGAATTGTGGGTAAAATGAGTAAACGTAATTAATACAGTATTCAACAAAAAACAGGCAGTACTTTTTAGTTTAGATTTATTGGCCAATGTTCCATTTTCCAACAGGACGATCTGAAGCACACAATTAATCCAAGGCCACATTAAAGGAATTGAACTGAGTCAAGTACCAGATGACATTTCCACGGGTTGTGCCGATAGGCACTAACCCCTCAAGTGGAGGCTGGATGCCATGCAGGAGGTAGAAGAGAGAAATTTACTGGTGTTATTAGTTACTACCTGGCTGTATACTATTCTACTGGTTCCTCATATTTTGATTTTCCTAGCTACGCCTTTTAATACTTTATTTTCCAGCAATCCTATGAATGTTGATGAAGACTCTCTGTGGTTGCTCTATTTCACCTTATAAGTGCAGGGACGGTTGATATCTTACCAGAAGAGTTGTGCTTGATTTCATATAAAGTTGTTTTTTGGAAGCTTGTTTGATATTTTGTTCAGCCTCACCAATGCAAAATCATGTGGCATATAAATCCAGGTGATGGTCATACCGTGTGGTTTATTTGCTCTCTTCCGTCAATCTTGGGACCAGCTCTCTTGCATTTTATGCAGTATGGCCTGCAAATATTATGTTGTTGGCACTATCTGTTTGGGGTTCATTGCTTGCAGAAATTTAGAGGAGAGCTTGATTTATGTCTTTCAGCTTCATCTTTGTGCTGCTTGTGGGAAGGTAAGTGATGACAAAGTGTGCTTCCAAAACATGGTATGGCCATAACAGTCTGACATTTTATTTTCTATTGAACTTGTACAATATGGAATCAACAGAAATGTTAAACCTATGATGACATAATCTGACACAACTGTGGCAGTATATTAATAAAGCCTGGAATGGCCTAAAACCTGAGTATTTTAGTAAATTGATTCATAGAGTGCCATGAAACACTAAAGCCGAAAATGGTTGTTTCGGTGAAAGTAATTGGATTATGGTTGCACTTGTAAGAGTCCAGTTATGTAATTTAGACATTATCGATGTTATAATCAGTAATTTTTGTGTTTAACTTTTACCTGGAAAAACAGTCTGCTTTGAACAACAGTGTCTGTGTGTGTGTTTGTATATCTCAAAGTATACACTTGCATATTTCTTACAGTGAGCAAAGATATGCACTGAGTTATCATGCAATTATTGATAACTGTTTAAATGCAGAACTTTTTAAATATTCTATAGAATACTGTGGGAATATCCTTAAGAAAAATGACAATTACAATTAACACTAAACATGCAAAATGCTTCTTTGTTTTAGTAGTTTGAAATATCTTAATACACTCTTCCAAATAAATGGTGTATTTTATATCATTTTATGCTGTTTTTAGTACTGAATTTGTATTAATATATTGTTTTTAAAATTTTGTACTATTCTGTTTGATACTTTGTACATTTTTTATATTAAAAATTGAATCATATTTAGAGATTGAACTAGATTAGTGAACTGGTAGGAAATCAATAGCTCCTGACGAAGCCGTAATAGCAAAATATTGAGCCAATAAAGTTACATTCTGGAGATATAGGTCATTATTTTATTTATGTTGATTGAGATTTGCATTGTTAACAAAACCTTGATTTTCGTTTTTTTTAATTTTATGGTTTCAAAGCTTTAATGTTTTATTCCGAATTCTCAAATGACAGTGATTTATACTTCGTCCTGGATGTGGAACATTGTTCACACGTAAGCCTTATTTCTACTGTGGCTTTTGGAGGCTTATTAACTGTCAGGGTCATTGCAACATTTGTTCAACGTCTTGTGGATTACCACATGCTTAATGGACCTTCTATTCTCATCTTGTCAGCTGAATTTTTTCTCCTCGGGTAGTACTTTATCATTCTTAAAACAACCTTAACATTCCAATCTTTCTGGATTTCATTCTTGGGTATGTTTCTTTCCATCTCTTTTTGCCTGTGTTATTATTTTTCATTTTCTCACTTTCTGACCCACGATTCTTAGGTTTATCTTGCATTTTTACCTTGCTTGTTATAAGTTCTTATACTATTTTCTTTCTCAAGCCAAACTGTCTCGTCCCATTTGTGACTTTTTTCATCCTGATTTGTAGACTTTCTATCCTTCCTTTTCCCGATTCCTTGTCATTGGTATCTATCTGGCCAGCTTGGAGATCAACTCCTTTACCTTCTACTTCAATTTCTAATTTCTCTTTTTTGCATTTTTTGTCTTTCTGCATTCCCTCTTCTAACTCCACCTTGTATCAGAAGCACTTCTTAGTGCTTCTGATAGCTTCTGTAAACATATGTTTCCATCTCTGTTTGGCTTCTTCCACTTCTTCTTCTGCTCTATCCCTCCATATTTTGTTCCCTTGCTGATGGGACTCGTTGGGTTGGGCTACATTTCTCTTTACTGTACCCCTTCCTTCTTCTTGTGTACTTATTCTTTGTCTGGCTCACTTTTGTTATGCAGATGTCTTCAGTGGTGTTCCTTTTCTCCCTGTTGATCTGGTTTAATGTTGAATATGACTTTTGTCCTCATAATCATCCCAGTTTTTTCCTCTCTCTTGACCTTACCCTTTACACCTATTCCTTGTCTAAATCAGTTTCCTTTCCATCTTTCCATTCTAGATTGCAGACCTTCCTCTTTTTTTCTTACATTCCTTCTACCAAAAGTCTCATTCATCACTCTTCGTGCCAGTGACTATAACACACAAACACATACATTTCTGTGCATACCTTTCTGTTCTCCTGCTGTTGATCTCAATTTCTGCTGCCAGTCACTTTCCATTTCCCCACTTTTATCTCTTTCCTCACTACTCTTTGTTTTTCTTCCCAATTTCATTTTATCCTCTCTCCTACCCCATCTATGGTATTTTTCACCTGGTCTATGATTGTCCATGATCAATGTGTCAGACACCTTTTTGTGTGTCTCTCTTGGCCTGTCCTTGCTTTGTTTTCTTTATCCCATCCATCTTTTTTGCATCTTCCCATTTATTGCTCTTCCCTTCAATTCAGTGTCGGATCCTTTTATATTTATTGGTATATTGAGGGTCTTTTGGCTATTTAGATCTCTTAATACATTCTCCTCCTACCTCTCTTCTTTTATGCTGGCTACTTGGTTGGTGGGGATGTATCTTGGGATCTTAGTCCTTTCTCACACTTTCTCAGTGATGGATACTTTTGAGCACTTTTTTCATCTCTCATCTCAAATGACTTCAGCCTGCATGCTATGGCATATCTGGTCACCAGATTATACACTTCTCGTTCTCATATTGCATGAGAAGTTTTTTCACTTTTGAGGAATCTGGCTTCCTTAAAACCCCTCATTCCTTTGGAGCATGCCAAAATGTATCTCTTACAGTGGACCTTGTGGACCCAAGGTTTTCTTTCTTGGGGTCCTTTGTCTTTGTTTGTGAGTCTCTCCTCAAGGATTTCTCACAGTGACTGGACACTACCTGTACTTCTTCCTACATTCCTTTACTGCCTCTCAAACCAGATCTCCCCCATCTTTATTGCTTTTTTCTCTTATTGAGTTACATTTTTCAATGAGTGAAGGAATCCAACATTTATAAGCTGGACAAGAGTTCACTCCACATTACCATGCTCAACCTTCTTGCTCTTTGTCGAACATGTTATCATTCCTACTCTTACTAATGGTTCATTTGGTTATGTACTACTCAGCATATTCCACAGTATTTTTCCTGCTCCAACTGCCCTTGTAGCTCCTCTTCCAGGGCCTTATTTTTGGTTTCACATGTTACTCGTACACTTCTGAGCCCATACACATCCTTTGGTAGGAGTTTGTATCTTGGTGGCAGACTACCTCTCTCAGCCAGTCCATATTCTGTCACTAGAATAGTCTCTACACCCCAAATCTTCCGTGGGATTTACCCTTGATTGGACACATCCCTCTTGGATGATTTTGCCACCCTTCTAAACTCCAGGCTTCTTCTCTTATGGTTCTCTATTCCTCATCATTTGCACCTTGCTATCAATTTATCAGCCAGGCCTTATCTGACCTCTTTCTCTGTACCTACTTCCCTTCTTCTGAGTCTTGGATTCATACATTACTCTCCTTGGATGTATTGTTGGCACCTCTTGATTTGCCTTAGGCTTAGTCTGATTGATATTTGGACCCCTCTTCCTCTTCCCATTATCCCCTTTCTTGCTTCTCACTCTTTCACTTCACTTCTTCTTAGACAGATACCCTCCTTTCACCCTCACACATAGAATTTGCCTGATCTGTTGCCTGTCAGGCCAGACTTTCCACTAAAGTGGCATTAATTTCCTTCCATTCTTGTCATCATTCCACTGTACTTGTCTATCACTATCAGTAGTGGGTCTTTTTTGTTATTGTTCCTTCTGCCACTCCTTTCCTCCTGGCAGTAATTCTGTGCATCAACTTTCTGCTTGTCTTACCAGACTGTTTGTCAATGGATTCTTAATCTCAATCTTTTCTAACTGTTGGGTGGTCCTGTACATGGCCTTCCAGGATTCCTGGTATCAAGAGGTGTTTTTCCCCCCTCACCTCTCCATGCTATTCTGCTTTTTCATTCTCTTTAGTCCTCCTTGCCTGACTGAGACCTTAATGAGGTTTTTAATGATTTCATGCATGCCCTATTTGAGACGTTGACTACCTGGCTTTTGTACTGTCATTCTCTCCTGACTTGTTTCTTCCTACTCTCTTCTTGGATTACCATTGTTTTAATAATTTCCTTTAGATACTTCTCGCATCCTCTTTCACTGCACTTATCTTTTACTCTCTCTGAACCATTGCTTTTTTCCTTGGACTTCAACTGCTCAGGAAGTACACTATACTTCTCTCCTGTCTACCTTCCTCCTGTCTCTCATTTACTGTACCATTCACACCCAGCTCAACTCCTATGTCCTGTTGGGCTGTTCAGTGTATCTTATCACAGATCTCTCCCTCCAGGGGTCCCTGCCTTTGTCTCTATTCTGGTACCCCTCTTTTTCCATTGACCTCTTTCCTTCTTCCCTTATGGAATGGGTCTGTTGTCTTCTCCATTGACATGTTTGTCTTAGTATATGAATATTTGCAGACTGTTTACTTTCTCAGGATTGTTGTATTCCTACTAGGGGTTCTTTTGTCTCAGTTTGTTTCTGTTAATTGGTTCTATATTTCAGCCTGTGAGGAAGATTGAATAAGGTCATCTAGCTTGATTCCTAAGCTTCTCAGGTCTATCTGTACTTCACTCCTTGGCTATGATTTGATGTCTGCCTATTCATATTGGATTAGGTACTTTCTCTTCCTTCTTGGCTGGTTTGGATAATGAGGAAGTGACTCATGTTAGATATTGTAAAGGCTCTGGTCCCTCTACTTTGTGTGAATTTGGCAGAAATTTGCATGCAGTATCTCTGTCTCTTTGTTTTTTGTAATTTTTTTGAAAAGTGCAAGCTTTTCTGTTACTAGTGATTCCTTTCTAGAGAGGCTGCACTGCCCCTTCAATGTTTAGCCCATATCTGTTCCATCCCTTCCTCCTCTTTAGTTCAGAAATTCTAGCAAAGTGTAATTTTACATTTTAAAACTAAAACATATCATAAATAAGCATTTGCTTCTTACATCATTGGCCCACCTTCCTTGGGAGAGTTTGGTGCCGAGGGTATTTAAGTGAAATCACGTTAACGACAGTGATTGGCTGTCAATGGAAGTCGCATTCTATGAAAATGCACTATTGGGGGTTACTAAAACCACTTCAGTACATGGTTGAACATGAGTTGGTTTTGGAACATTTTCAATTTCGTCATAAACCACGAAAAACTATCTGATAATAGGATATAGCACAATGTGATGTGAAAAGTAAGTACACATTTGAACACACTCAACTTTAAAAATAATTTTTAAATACATTTTTCATTTTGTACTTTTTGTTTAATTCTTAACCTAGTTTTATTATTTTGACTTTGATGACCAGGAGTTTTTTTTTCACTTTTTTTTAGGATATGTAGAGATATGATAAACATCATTGACAACAAATGTGATGGGAGTAATGTTGTTCGTCAGCCACGAGGTCCAGATGGAACATCGGGGTTTGCATGTCGCAGATAGCATAAATGAAATAATAATAGTATTTTTTTTTCTATTCTTCTAATTGCAGAGAAGTCTATGTGGTAGTAATGGTTAGTTTATACTGCTGTCTTGAAATGGGTCAGTGGTTTCAATCTTTCATGTACTTTTTACTTATTTCTGTTGAAACTACTACATTAACTGCTGTCTACTAACATATTTAAGTATAACATTGGCAAAGATTTTTTGCATAAAATATTGTAAAAATAATGTGTGGTTATGAGTTTGGTGTAATTACTGTAAATTTATTATTATAAGTCTGATCTTAGTACATATCATGACATACAC